GATGGCTGCTTGATTACCTTCAAGCCTTTAAGACCCCAGACGCTATACTTTTTGATAGCCGGGCACCATCAGCTTTCTTTGCCACATTTGCTTAGAATGACCCTTTTACAGAGGTCACCTGATTTATAACAATAACAAAATGACAGTGATGAAGTAGCAATGAAAATAACTTTATGGTTGGGGGGGTAACCACCACATGAGGAACAGTGTTAAAGGGTCATGGCATGAGAAGGCTGAGAACCACTGGACTGGAAGATGCTGAAAGAAAGGCGATACTGTACAGTATTCATCCTTTGCAAACACTCCCACAACTATATACATTTTAGAATGATGTGGTGATATTTGAATAGCTATTTAATGTTATTCAGCAAAAAGGATTTAGGTTTCCAGGACATGTAGTAAGCTAAGGGAGTGTGAAAAATAGTAGACCAAAATCTAATAAACCCTTACATGAATAGTAATCTGAGACACACTACAAAATCATTTCTGAGTACTAGAAATTTCACCAATTTCACCTAAAAGCTTACTTATCATTAAATAACTAGATACACTGACCTGCCTGGTACAGCAAATTTAAAGCAATATTTATTTCATTTCACTCTGTTGTGCTGCCTATGTGCGTCAATAAAGAAAAATGTATAAATAATTTATAAATCCAATATGCGATGAAATGGGTTAACAACTGATGGAGCTTGGAGAAGAAAAAAATGGAATACTGAAACATTTACCATTAATATAGAATGATTGAGTACATTTTGGAAATAACATCCAGAAATAGACCAATTTGTTGCATGAATATGAAGTGAGAAGTCTGTTGGTAGAAGGGATTCATTTATTTGTTTATTTTTTAGCAAAGTGTCTGGGTGGGGAAATTAGCTGTATTCAACAGTCATAGCAAATAACAATAATTTTCAAACAGGGAGCAGTCTGGGTGTGATGAATCATCAAAAGTACTATTGTTATATAATTCTGTTAATTAGGAGGGTGATCATCGTGACTTAATATAAATCCTCTCAACAAAGCAAAATGGCATTTGCATGTCTAGGTCCCTGGTTTTAGTGATTATAAATAAATTTGTCATTAAGCTAACTTATTGCCATAGTGGACAACTCCCTCTAATATAAAAATCTGAAGACTGAGTGAATAGTAGATTTCTCAGTATCTCATCTGCTGGCTCTCTTTTGACCTGCTCTCCTAAGGCTGCCCAAACCAGGTGTGGCGGCATCACCTACAATACCTCTTGTCGGGTAGTTCTCTTGACCATTACTTGATGGATTGGTCCTTGATGCATTTATGATGTGAATATCGCATATCCATTTGTTCAGAAATGTGTGTCCTATTGACTTAGTTTTCCTGTGAATGCTATATTCAATTACCAAGAAAACAAACAAACAAACAAACAAAAACCTGGTTGAAAGCAGAGAAAGGTATTATCACCTGGTGTCTGAGGAAAGAAGTCTGACTCCGTCTCATTGTACCAAACTGAAGGTGCTAACAGGGGCTCTCGCTAAGGCTTTCTGGGAGAATCCCTTCTTTGCTTCTTGCAGCTGCCAGTGGCTCCAGGTGTTCCTTGATTTGTGGGAACCTCCCTGCAACCCCCATCATTGTAATCACATCGCCTTCTTATCTACTATCAGTGCCTCTCTATTATTAAGACCTATGCAACTACATCCAGGTCCCCCTGGGTAATCTAAGATGATAGTCCCATCACAATAACTTAACCGTATCTTCAAATGCCCCCTTTCCCCCCCTATATAAAGTAACATCTACAGGTTCCAAGAGCCGTTATTCAACCTACTGTACATATGCACCATGAATTAAACAGATCCCCCCCCACCACCACCACCAAGGGAATAGCTTTTCCTAGAGATGTCTATAATTTTGTTCTTTCCACCTCTGTAGTCTCAATGACTCAGGAAAAAGAGATAAATTATTAAATCTTTCCCCTTACTTGCTCTTTAATTCTAAACGACACAAAATCCCATAATGTTCCTCATAACAAATCATGTAATATTCGAGCTCCTGTTTTATTTGTTCAGTGCTGCTAGAACAGTGTTACCACAATGGATAGCTTTGCAAAGAGACACTTATTTTCTCGCACTTTGGGCATCTAGACATCCTAATGCAGAGTGTGGACTCGAAGGGAAGACGGGAAGGCTCATTCGCTCTCTGAGGCTTTAGGGAAGATCCTGCTTGTTTGTTCTCTGGTGATCTTCTTGAAGGGGGGGGGGGTGCGTTTCTATGCAAGATCTGCTATCTTTATATCTTACAGGCTGTTGGCTTCAAACACACCCTTTATGGATATAGCTTCTTATTGCAACAGCAACAGCAACAACAAGAAAAACCATTCCCATATGGGATTATAACCATAGTCATAAGGGCTAGGATTTAAGCACAATGTAAGCCTTAACAGCACTACCTCTGTTACTACTGCCCAAAGCATTTAGTCTTCCATCGCCTCTCATATAGCATACTACAGTAGCTTTCAAAATGACCTTTTCCCCACCTATTTTCTCCACCTAATTCAGTACAGTTCTGATGATCATTTTCATGTTCTGAAGCCTCCAGTGGCACTCTCCTCAGCCACAGAATTACCTCGACGGTGTTCGTTCATTCTAGTCTCTCTCTCTCTTAAACTCACTGAGTCCTTACTACAAGCTGCGCTCTAGGTTCTGTCCTTCATGTTTGTTACAAGAAGTAAAAACTTCTCTTACAAGAAGTCTACCAATTAGATTCTATGATAACAATGATTAGGTAAGCAAGCAAAGGCAGAAACCATTTTTGTAGCGTCTCAGGCTAAAGGCAGAAGCTGCCACTGCATTGCAAACCCATCTCTACAGTCTCTTTCCTTTGTCCACTGAGCTCTACCTTTGCACTCCCATTAGACCCACATTTCCCCGAAGGTAAATATGCTCTGCTGCAGCTAAATTGGATTATTGATGCCTCACTAAATCCAGTTCATGGTTTGCCTTCTCTGTATCTTTACTCGTTCAATAGTTTATTTCAGTGGAAATGTCTCCATATTTTCAATGTAGTCCAAATGTCAACATGTGCATGAATCCTTACATTGGTTTCTTTGGCTGGATGTGATCTTTTCCTTCCTTGAATCAAAGGAGAAGATACATTAGCTACAGTGAGGAATCTGAAAGTTGTTTAAGGGAGTAGTGATTATATTACAATCACATGCCCTTAATTTTGCTCTTTGTTTTCTGCTTTGGAACTTGGCCACTGGGCCCCTTGCCAGTCGGGCCAGCAGGAGACCTGTCGCCATGTGGCATTCCTCCTGGACACCAGTGTTTGCCTGAATGAACGAATGATGATGGACTATTTTTTTCCAGAAAAGACATTTTTAATGAGTGCCATTATTACAGTTATTTAAAGAGTTCTTACATTATTAACTTCAGCCCAATATGTAAATAAAATCACAAACTATTTAATAAAGACTAAACTAGGTCCTATCTAGCGTTGTGAAGTCCTGCAGAGACACCAGCTGTGCCAGGTGAGGTGAATGAAGTAACACCTGCTCTCTCTTTGAAGAAACTTGAATAGACGCTGGCCTTTACCTCCTCAGCATCGAGGGGTTCTCACGATCCCATTCAGAAAAATACTTTTCAGTATGCATTTGAAATGGTTGAGAGGTGTCATGTTAAGTCATCTGTACTGGACCTTATTAACCTCGCCTTCAGGGATTAGCAATATCACTCTTTTTGTATAGAAGAGAGGAAATTGAGCAAAGGGGAATAAAAAATGAAAGGGAAAAAGCAATGAATTTATATCCAGGGGTAAACATTCTGTGAGTGTGTGTGTGTGTTTAATGTGCTTTTGGAAAAAACAGATAAATTCCTATGAATCACAAATCAGATTATTTTTCAGTAGCTTAGACATGATTATTTATCAAAATGAGAAAATGCAATGGATGAAAAGACTATACTATACTTCAAGACACAAAAGTTCCCCAGTTGCATGAAACATGCATTAAAATTCTTGACACCGAGTCATTAGAAGATTAATCCAAATTGCTTCATAACGAGAATGTGATTGTGAGAGATTCTCTCCCAGGTTATCCCCAGAGAGAACACTGCTCTGTGCTTGTCAGGATTTGCTTGTAAGTCTCAGCCCATGTAGGCAAGTGCCGTACTAGCAAAGATCAGTTCCTTTAAAACCCTTTTATAAAGTATCACTAAGATATAATCCATGACCTGAGCTCTCTCTTCCCGAGGGGTTAACTAGACTAAAGCACACTTATATGTTAATAAATGCAGAGACACATTATTAACAGCAATTATTATTTCGTAGGTGCAAGTTGTCAGTTTTGCCACAGAACATAATTGGGATTCTCTGGACTTTTATGATGGGGGTGACAACAATGCTCCAAGACTTGGAAGTTATTCAGGTAAATAAAAGAGCTTACCTTAACTATACTGCAGATAAAATTCTAATATAGGGTCATGGTGGGCAAGGCATAGACCTGCTAACCATAAAGTCAGCAGTTCAAACCCACCAGCTGCTCTGCTGGATAAATATGAGATTGTCTCCTCTGGTGAAGAATTAAAGTCTCAGAAGCCTAAAAGGGCAGTTCTACATTTCCTGTTAGGTCGCCATGAGTCAGAATTGACTCAGTGTCGGTGCGGTAAACACTTGTAGGATGAGTGAGCCTCATCTCTACCCTGAAGAGGAGACGGTAAGTTTGAGCGGCAAACCTTGTGTCTAACAGTCCAATGCTTACCAGGTAGTGCCACTAAGGATTATCACAGATGTAACTTAAAACATGAAATCTCTTTTAAAAAAGTGCTGCCTGGAACTCATATGTGGTGATTTTAGTTTGCTTGTATATGTTATATACTGTGTTATGTGAAAGGTGTGAAAACCATTAAAGGTAATATTGAAATTGCTATGAAATTTTTCTATATCTATGTAATTATTTGTTTATGCTTTTATTTTAATGCTAATATTTGTGTCTGAGCTGCCCTCCTTTTCTTAAAAAAGATTCAGTTAAAACTGAAGAGCTTACACTATTTAAAATTTCAATAATAGGAAACGAGTGTAAAACCGCCCAATTGGCTGCCACATTTCTCTGCTGGGGCAGCTCACGGGTACCAACGGGGGACTCACTCCGTGAGCAGCTCTGTTCCCCAGCCTCTGAGCCAGCAGGGCTCCTGAATGGGCATGACTGAATACATATCTAGATCCACAGAAGGCCTCCTAATATGTTACAGTGAAAAGACATAGAAATGTTAAAATTAACTTATTCTGAAATCATGCATGGGGAATTGAAATCCTTGTGAAATTGAAAACTTTATTTTAGATGACCTGCAAAATTTAGTGATTTGAATATCACCAGCTGTTTTTGCTCCCATCTGATTGTAGGAACATACAAAAAATGATCCCAAAGACCTATCTCTTATGAACTAAGGAAAGTAAAATGGAAGTAAACAGTATAATGAAAGAATAAAGAGGAATGTTTATATTAAATATTTTTGAAATACTGCTTGATTGACACAAATTTAGTGATATTCTATTGACTTTTGGTTAGATACCTTACTGAATTTCACGATAGCATGTCCTAGAGTGAGAATTGACCTGCCATTTCATTTACCATTTCAGGGACGACAATTCCCCATCTTCTGAACAGTACTTCCAACAATCTCTATCTAAATTTTCAGTCAGACATCAGCGTTTCTGCTGCAGGATTTCATCTTGAATATACAGGTAAGAATAATGTCATACCACAAACAGGAGAGTCCAAATCATGCTTGGTTTCCTCTTTAAAAACGAGTGCAGTGACTTGGCCACAAAGGAATATTCAGCATTTTCTCCCATAGGTTTTGAAATGCTTCTTTTATTCACTTACGGAGTATGCAGGTATAGTTCTAGAGATTTTCTGAAAATGTTATAGCTACTATATACTCGTATATAAGCCGAGTTTTCCCAGCACATTTTAAATGCAGATTTTGTGATAAAATTAGGTGCCATGGCTGATATTTGGGTCGGCTTATACTTGAGCATATATGACTTTTTTCAAAATATATGTGGATCAAAAAAACCAGATCCTTTAGAAGTTTTGCAATTGTAATGGTAGCAAATAGTTTCTTCTGTTGGATGCTCTTGGTTTAAATGCTGTTAAGCTGGGTTTAACCCCGTGACCTTATGAATCGCAGGAATAAACATAGCCCAGTCTAGGGTCATCTTCTTAATTGTCACCATATTTGAGTCCATTGTCGCAGCCACTGTACCAATCTGCCTCACTCAGTGACTCATTCTTTTCATGGACTTGATGGGCAGTAAAAATATTTTCTTCTAAGCACCTCCTTACAATAATTTTACATGCAAACTATGTTAGGTATTCCGATAGATATATTCCAAGTATCGTGTTCAATTCTTTTTAATGCCCAACACTATGACATGAGTAATTAGGTGCTTATGTGGTGATTGTGGGTTTAACCATTTCCATACTGGAATGTAAGCTTCAGGAAGACAGGTCTGTCACGAAGACACGCTAATCTAATTTGTGATTATGTCTGCAGCAGTGAGCTCAGTTCTGAAACTCAGTAAGCACTCAAAAGACATTTGCTGGATGAATAGATGAATGTGTGTCCTCAAGACTTGGAGATTGAAGGGGACCCATATAGAAGGTTGTCACATGTCATTACTACCAGTATATCTACACTGATGCTCATATTCAGAAAGAGCTTAGGCTTTAGGACTGTAGGCGTTTTGCAATTGTATACTGCTTGCCTCTGCTTCTTGGAAGTACCCACTGAAGATTATTAGCTCAGCACCCCTGTCTCCAGGTTACCCAGTTCCTATGGTAACAACATGACCTGTGCTGGAAGTTCGGATCAATGACAAATGTCCTGTGGGGATGAACCCAGTATTTTGTACAGGGGTAGGCATGTACCACATAAACTGTGGGATCATTGATTTTTCTTTACATTTTTTGAGGGGTTTTTGCAGTGAAATACTTATACTTTACTACTGCTATTACCCTCAGATATAGCTACTGTAATAGAGATCAATTATGTCTGTAAGAGTCCTTCATTCATCTTTCCTTTTACCAACAGACACTGAGAACACCCATTCTGTGTCAATCGCTATGCTCGATGTAGATACATAAAAATAAATCATGGCCTCTTATTTTGAGATTACCACGTAGTAAGGAAGGCAGAGATCAATCAACACTACTTTACTGTAAATTTAGCAATAGAGCTGTTCACTAAAACCCGCTGCCACCATGCCCATCCCAACTCACAAGACATTACAGAACTGCCTCCTTGGGCTTCCGAGACTGCCAGTGTGTACGGGAACTGACAGCCATCATTCTCCCAGGGCGTCACTGGTGGATTAGAACTGCTGACCAGATGGTTAGCAGCCCAGCTCATAGTCCACTGGGCCATCTGCTAGTGGAGAGCATGTCATTAGTTTCATCTACGAAGTTCAGGGATGACCTCAAAAAGGAGAGATCCTTGATGTGAATCATAAGGAGTAAGCAGGATTATAGCAATTAAATAATGAGAGGTAGCTATTTTCAGCAGCGAAAACTTCACAATCACACAGAGCTGTGGAAAGGGGTCCATCAGCGGAGCTGTTACTAGTTTAGCAGGGATGGTAAAAAGAAGTCAAAGCTAATACCTGGAGCTAATGCTCTTTTGAAAGCCAGTCCATTCCTGGGAGGTGTGGCCTGTCACAATGTGTAATTTGACTTCATTGTGGGTGGGGCCATTTTTATATAGATTAGGTGTTCTGTTATTCATAATGAAGACAGCTTCCAGATTATGAGTTCTGTACCTGAACCTCTTTAAGTAGAATTCATAAGTTGAAACAGTTTCGTACAGCTGGTATCTAACATCAGTCAGTCAAATGTTTACCTTAATATTTTGCATAACTTTGTCTGTGTAATAGAAAATATTATAGAAACACCCCCAGATACACCAAAAAAATCTTTAAATACTAACAGTGATATTAATAATATATTTTCATATGAATCACAAAGAAGAATCCATTTCTTATTTCAAACATTGCATGTTCTTCAGATTTTTAATGTAGTAGGCAATGTGTGAATTCCACCAAGTTCAGAATTTAGAGCATTATTATTCTTATTTTGCCAATGCCTTAAATGCAGATTGAAATTCTTTCTTTCACAGTAACATTTGTTCTTGATCAAATACTATCTCCTGAAATGGTTGGACATCTACCAGGTTTTTGTGTTGTTGTTCATTAATTCGGTGTATTCTTTCCATCTTGTTTAGATGCTCCCTTCATTAATTTTCCCTCACATAATCCTTCAATAGCTAAGCACTTTTAGTAATTATTTTTGTTAAAAGATTTATATTGATTACTAACTGTGTAAATGATGCTCTAATGAAAACTATAGGCTACTGGGTATGCATGAAATGCAATCTGTTTCCTGATCTAGTAAACATGTTATTACATGATGTAATTTCCTTTTTACCTGTGATTTATTACAAGTTTTATTTCTATAAACTGAGTAATCAAAGTATGCCAAATAAAAAAAAGATATCTGAGTAGAACTTAAAGATGTGGGAAATAATTTACCATTTGGCAGGAATAAACATAATAAAAATAATGTAGTCATTATTTTAGAACAATTCTTTTAAATGCGACAATAATTAAATGTTAACATGGACTGACATTTGATTTGTCAGGTTTGAATTCATACAGTCTAAAGCACATATTATTTTAGCGATGTTTTGATTTTAAACAAATCTTCAGATAATTCTCAAAAGTCAGTAGTGGCTTGCATTATTATCCCAGAAAAACCGCTAAAACTAGAGTATCATATTTATGTTAATCTGAAGACGGTGCTAACTGTATTTTCAAAAACCACAAGGTGGCAGGATAATATTATTGCCCAAAATTTAAAACATTATATTGATAGGCCTTATCTAAAACTTGAAAACATTTGCTGACTACTTTTCCATTGGTACAAGACACTAAAAAAATTGTGCTGGATTAAAGGAAATACAATCATTAGTATTACAAAATCAAAGTCTGTAAAAGTATAGGAAGATAACTATTTCATAAAATTATAACTCAACCAAAAAAATATTCTCCACATGGACAAAAGCTTTACTCTTGAGAAAAGTTGAATAAATATTTTGTCAAATTGTTACACTTGGTAGAATAGGCAGATAATCTTAAAATTTGTGTCTGTGTTGTGAGTATTGTTTTAAAATTCAGTTAACATAAACTATAATTCAGTTTAGAAATAGAGAAAGAGGTTCAGAAAATCATATGAAAAATGATAATTAAAAGACTTTAAAAGGGGAGATTTGTAGAAGAAAGTGAGGTGCCAAATGAGAAAGCTATACATTTAATGAAAAGTTTTCTTATGAGTGCTAAAGGATTACTAATGTTTTTTTAATATATTTTTAAAAGCTTCATAAATTGTTTGTGAATTCATTATCTATTCAATAAGAACATTTGCATAGGTTTTTCAAGATCATATATATACATAAAAGAACAGAGAATATTTATAGTATTCAAATTAATAAATTTTGCTACGCTCCGAAGGTATTAAAAACTTGGAAAAGAAAATAGAAGTCCAAAATAGATGTCACAAGAAACTCTGAAACTTGGTCTTGAATGTTGAGTAGCTAAAGATAATCAAAGGAATGGTAACATAGAGACTAGAACAGAACATTTCAAGTGGTAGCAGAAGAAGGCCAAGTAAATTGTTAGATGAAATGTGCAAAGATTTAAAGCTAGAAAAGCAAAAGGGAAGAACGTGCTCAACAAGTGAAAGTTCAAGCATTGAGTTGCAATATTGGAGGATCCTATGGACAAAATGAAAAAAGGCATAGGAAACATCATTTAAAAAATTGGGAATCACTTTACCAAAACAAATTGGTAGGTGTTCAACCATTTTAGGGGGCAGCGTATGATCGAGTATTGATAGTATTAAATGAACAAATCCAAGCTGTATGGGAAGTACTGATAGAAAATAAGGCTCCCTAAATGGACAGAAAACAAGACGACAGGTTTCAACAAAAGGACGCAATGGTAGAAGCACTCACTTGTCTGTGCCAAAGTATTTGGAAGAGAACTACCTGGCCAATATATTGGAAGAAATCAATATGTGTGCTTATTGAAAAGGAAGGTGAGTCAACAGAATATGGAAATTAGGGAACGATATCTTTTGTATCATGCACAACTAAAATTAAATTTTTCAGTAGTGCATCACTAGGAAAGTGACAGAAATTCACACTGAATTTAGAAAAGAGTGTGGAAGGTGGAATTTCATTACTGTGCCTCTTATTTCCTGACCTGCCTCTTTACTCAGCATGATGTCCTCCTTGAACTTGTCCTTCTTGATACCATGTCCAACATATATGAGACAATGATCTGCTGTACTTGCATCTACGGATTATCTGAGCTGTACTTCTTGCAAGTCAGATTTGTCCAGTTTTCTGACAGCCCATGATATATTAAAGATTCTTTGCCAGCAACATCATTCAAATACATCGATTCATTTTTAGTCTTTCTTATGATTTCATTCGGGTTTTCAATGCACATGAGGCCATGTGAATTCTATGGCAATGTTTTACCTCGTGTACTTTGGACAAGCTATATGAGGGACTAGACTCGGGAGGACATAATGCTTGGTAAAGTATGAAGTCAGTGTAAAAAGAGAAAGTCTCAATGGGCTTCTACAATGAGCTCACTGGAATAATTGTGAAGGTCTTTCAAGA